AGAGGCCAAGTTGTTCAAACAATGTTACCTAAATTAATTAATTATGCTAGCAGAGCCCAGTAAGCTAGAAAATAATATTGCCATGACTAAGGTCTTTTACAGTTATTATTTCACCAAGCATTTATTTTCAGTAGCAACTGACATTTTTATACACTGGCAGTATGATCTTCCAAGTGCAGAATTTTCTCTTGCAATTGTTTAGTGAATGGTAAGTATTTCATGATGACCAGATGGTGTGGGGTTAAGAACTGTGGAAAGGAGGGGAGTGCCAGGACCAGAGTGGCCTTATGGGACATGCAAAGGAATATACATATTGTCGTGTTTTACAGTTACTCGTTCTGAACATGAGAGCAGCAATTTCATTTGTGTGTACCAAGATGACTCTCGTGGGGGCGTCTGGGGTGGGGCAAGAATGACATTACAGATACCACTGTAGGTTATGTGCTAGTGCAGGGAGAAATGAAGAAAGACAGAGCTGGCCACTGCAAGTCTATTGGCCCCGGCAGTTTTTAAAAAGGGAGGGGGTCTTGCATATGCTGTCACAGAAATGTCCCATATTTGGGCCTCCCCGGTGGCGCAGCGGTTGAGCACAGTGCTGTGAAGCTGTCCACAGCCTCTGCAGCACCGGTTCAATTCCCGGCCAGCCAGGGAGATTTCCACATGGCGCAACAGACCTCTCCTGACTCGCCCGCTGCTCCCCTCAGCAGTGCTTTCGGTCCGTCTGTTTGTTCTGTTCCCCACTCTGCCTCTGGTGAATCCTCTCGAACCCTCCCGTGCCTCTGGCCTGTACCCCAGCTATTGTATAAATAAAAAATAAATCTTTAAATTAAAAATTAAAATTACAAATAATTAAAAATTTAAAAAATTTTAAAAATTAAAAAAATTAAATTAAAATTAAAAAAAAAGAAATGTCCCATATTCACTTCATGAAGTTACATGAGCAAGTCACAGAACAATATGGACATTGTTGCCCCTGTATGTTACAGATTCAGTACATGTATTTTGACAGCACATATATGGGTGAAGAAGCTTCAAATCAGCTTTAAATAGGCATACACCACACTGTTTCTTATGGTTACTTTTTTTTTTAATTTTTCAGAATTAACTTTATAAAATAGATTCACACATATATGAATGCTCACATTTTAATTATACTTTATAAAGTACATTTTGTTTTACTTTTATATATTGTCTTTCTTATGAAATGAATGTTAGAAATACTCATTGTATCTTGTTTATGAAATTTTGGCCTATTTATTAAATGGTTTAAAAAAGAAATCTGCTAATATATAGTTAATCCATATTTAAAGTTGCCATTACAGCCAATTATGTTGAATTAATTTTAGCAATCCTCTGAAGCAACCATCCTGTTTGAGAATATTTTTTCTCATTAGAGATTATCTTATGGTTACTTTTGAAAAGGGCTGATGGGTGAGGAATGTTACAAGGGGAGAGATTTGATTTATCTGTGTTCGAATTTTTTATATCAAGAATACATGCACTACTATAGCTTTGCTATTAAAATATTTAAACAAGCCCAACAACAGAATGGATAGTTTTGTAATACACAGCTAAAGTAACTGCTAACTGTTGCAACAGAGAAAAGCTAAAATTTGAATGGCTTCATACAACCAAAAAGTTTATTTCTTGTGCATATACAGGCTGATGTGAATTGCCAGGGGCTCCCTGCTCTCAGGTACCCAGATCTTCAGGCTGTTTCCATCATGGAGCTTCACATCTCTACATGGGGGCTCCATGGATGCTACTGAGTGGAGAGAAATCATAGAGGGGGCACACTGACTCTTGTGACAGACATACTTTTACCAACACATCAGGTCAGGGATTAGTTTCGTGACTGTTGTTAACTACAAGTGGATTAGGAAGGGGGCATACAAGGTGACAGATATTTTCAAACATAGGATCACCTCTAATTTTAAAAAGGGCCCTGCAAATCTCAGCAGGGAGGGCTCGCCTTCGTTACTCAGTAGCTCTTTTCTGCACTGCCATTTGCTGTAACCTGTACCATCTGTTGGCTGAGAATTTTCTCCTACCTTTTGGGATAAGGTGAAAGTCATAGTTACTGGACACTTGACTAAAAACATCTGAACAGGTGCGACTAAAGCACACTGAAAAAAGGAGCATTTTCCCTCGGGCAGGTACAGACAAAAAAAAAAAAATCAGTTGTGGGCTGGTGAATTATATATTTTTTTTATTCGAAGCTAGAATGTCTGCCAAGAAACAATTTAACACCTACAAGAAGGACTTCAAGGTGGGTTTTTAGGAAAAAGGCCTCAGTAGATGTTTGTTTACAATCATTTCCTGGTCCTTCTCATCTGCCATATAGGAGGGAGGCTTTGATTCATGACCACTTAGTTAAGTTCACTCATCAGTGCATGGAGTGGGTGGGCAGATAAGATACTTCACTGAAATCCTACTGCAAATATCACCAATGTTTCCAAAATGGTCTCTATAGCCTCAGGATCATCAACTGAGTAGATTCCATGTCAGATCAGTCTACCTACCTGCTGACTTGGTGAAAAACTTTGAGTGAAGTGGAGGCATCCGGGGGAATAAGGAGGTGTCTACACTCATGGTCTGAAGGGATCAAATATGTGAAAATGTCCATAGCTAGCAGAGGTCCACAGGTCCCTTATGGAAACTGCAGGGTGTTGGGGTGCTAAGTAAGTGAAGGTGGGGGTATGACTGTCTGTCCCACTGGCAGCGGAGTGCAGCCTCTGGAGCAAGGCACAGGGAAGAGCCGTCCTTGATCAGGATCCAGCTTGGACGGGGAGGGGCACAGGTAGACAGGAGAAGACCCCCAAGAAGGGGACTGTCAAGTAGGAAAGTGCTGGGACTGGACATACCTGCTGGCGCCAGGGCTGAGACAGGCCTTCAAGAATCCTGAACTAGGGTCAGGAGGAGCCTGGGAAAATAAAGCCCCCAGACAGTCCCCAAATTGTGTCACTGCCCAATTTCACTTTCTTTAGGCCTGCTTTTAGCACTTTGGCACAGGATCCTTCTTCTTATTCCCTGAGAAACACTGTGGACTAGTGAGAAGTGAAATGAATTAAGAGACAAGGTCTGTTTCAGGCAGGGAGGCGTGGAATCCTGTGGGCCCTGGAGGAATTCAGACCAGGTTCGACTTCCAGTTCTGACACTGTCCCATGAGTGTGAACTTGGCAATACCGCAAGTTCTTCATCTGCCAGCCCTGTCTAGTTAGACTGTTAGAAGGGATGTAACACATGAAAAGTGACCGGCACAGTGATTGGCGATCACAGGGTCTTTAATGAATGTCAGTTTTTATTACACTTATTTTCACACAAGAAGAAGCTGCCCTCATCCTGGGCATGTTTTCTTGGTTTGCTTTAGCCAAATGTCAGACTATGCAGTACTCTGGGACAAAGAAAACCCAGTCAGCCAAAATACTATTAGCAAGTAACACTAAGAAAAATTTCCCCATGAGAGAATATGATATTTAGTGTGGAAAGAGGAATTTCACCAGGATTCAACACAAAGCTTGTAGATTTTGTGTCAAGGACCAGTAATTGCCTCCCTCCTGGTCCTCCCAACAAAAACACCCTTATTTTCTTTTTACTACCACCAAAATCAAGCCCTACTTTGGAGTTTTGCCAAATTACACTCAAGATAACCTAGTACATGGAGCACGCTCTGGCCCCCCAAGCCCAGGGCAGAGTGCCAGCGCAGTGGATGGGTGGCAAACCACCCAAGGGCCATCACACCTAGTTCTCAGAAACTTCCTGGAGACATTATGAGCACAACACCCAGATTGTGCCCTGGGGCAACAGCCCAGGAACTCTTTTGTCCCTTCCCCAGGTGCTGATCCCCTCTGGCTCATGCACAATCCCAAAGTAGCAGTTCAGGGCTTTTTCTCATTCCAGACCATCTCTCAAATTGGAGGCCCCTGCTCGTGGTTACCACAGCCTCATCTAGGCCATCATGTGCCTCATTTAAAATGACTTCCCCCAGAGGGACTTGCCATTTCCCAAACCCCAGAGTCCAACCTCCAGGAAATGATACTTCAGTGCTCTCATCTGAACATCCCCTCCCCACTGCTACCATCTGCTCAGCTTTTTTTGTAAAATAATTTTTTAAAAGATTTATTTATACATACAAGAGCTGGGGTACAGACCAGAGATGCGGGGGGTGAGAGGATTCACCAGAGACAGAGTGGGGAACAGAACAGGCAGATTGACTGAGATACACTACAGAGGGGAGCAGCGGGCAAGACAGGAGAGGTCTGCTGCCCCATTAGGGTTTATCTCTGGCCATGCCGGGGATTGAACTCGTGCTGAAGAGGCTGCAGACTGCTTCATATGCACAGCTTTTTAAAAAGTTAACTATTAAACTTGTCTTTTACATGTTAGAGATCATAACACCAGGTTCCTCATGTCGTAACTGCTCACAGACTCCAAAAATCTACAGCAGTTCTAGGGTCTTCTTTGTCTTGCCATCATCACCATTAACACAGAAACTTCCAAAGAGCAGATGCTCAACTAATGATGGATAAATGAGACATTGGGCAAAGAATGACATTTTTTTTTTTACTGTTTAATATACTATTTAATCCTTGAATAATACATTGAGAACAATCAGATCTTTGAATTCTACAAAGACAAGCAAATAAGGCAAACCAAGATTTGACAGAGTTTTATTATATTTTAAAACTACAGTTACATTTTTACGTGGTTGTTTCATATTTCTAAGAAAATCCTCATTCCAAAGCCATGTTATCTTATTCTGAAGACAAAAAAGATTCAAGGATTTTCAAATTGTATGACACAATAACAAAATGCGGACTCTTAAACCTAACAAAGAGCAATAAAAGTGTGATCTGTATTGTTTAGGAACTTGGTTTTGAATCTCAATAAGCATTCTATTAAAAGAAACAACATTTGAAAGATACTAATGGATAAAATGAGCACAATCAGGATACCTATTATGCTATTTCCAGCTCCACCTTAGCCTCAAGATACTGTGGGTGGACCCCTCATCTGCTCAGCCCTCCCTTAGAGGTGGGAGAAGCAGGAGAAGCGGGAGGAGAGGCCTCTCTTGACCCTGGAATGTGCACTTGCTTTGGAAGCTGTGGCTGGTTGGCTGCAGCTCTGGCTTTAAATCTCTCTTCTTCATCTCTCAAAGCCTCTTCATAATGGGGTGGGAAGGCACTAGGGATGGTACCATTGACCTTGGCCAAAAACTCCAGAATCCTCATCTTGCTGGTTTCAGCTTGCGCTCTTGGACCCCACAGGAACTCGTAGCGTGGAGGATCACTGCCTAGTATCCGCCGATACTCCAGGTACTGCTGCTGCACCATATCTTGGGTGATGAGCTTCCTGGGCTCCCCGAAGATCAAATGTGTTTGCCCATCATGGATCCCCAAAATATTCAGGAAATCCCAGACATCTTCCTCGGAGGCACGGTTGCCATTCAAGAAGATCACACCCAGGAGAGGCATCAGAAGCCCGTTTTTCGGAAGCCCCCAGCTACCTCTGAAACTCCCATTGTCGGTGAGGTCTAGCTTGTTGACCAGGGTGTAGGCGTGACCTCCGGGCTTGACTTCCTTCAATTCCAGGCCGAACGCCAGCTCCATGTTCTCGGAGGCTCTCCTGAGGATCTCGGGGAAGTGATCTTTGTACTTCTTGCTGACCATCTTCACCATATTTGCCTTCAAAATGGGCTCCTTCGCTTTATACTTCTCCAGCAGGAACTGTATCAATATCCCTACCTTCCTGGTAAGAGGATCTTTGCGGGTCTTCCGAGTGGAGGCTGCGAGCCGAGAGATGTGGGCAGTCGCCTCCTCTTGGCCCCGGGCACCTTCCTGGGACCTCGGGCACGAGGCCCCTGCCTCAGCGCAGCTAGCCCCCTGGGTCTGCTCCGGCTCCTGGGGAGGGCCCGCAGCAGGGGAGCTGGGGGGAGTAGCCTCAGATTTAGGAGGGGGTGAGGAGGGAGAAGAAGGCAACTCTTCCCCCTCTGCTGAGGCAGCCTGGGCCTGGGCATCACTGAGACCCTGAGTCTCCTCCCGGGCCTGGTGACGTTTCTCCCGGGCCCGGAGCTTACTCTTCTGACCGCGAGGCATGAGGACCCTGGTCAGGGATAGCAGGCACCAGTGTGGGCGGCAGAGTAGGTGATGGGGGCACCTGGAGGAGGGAGAACGAGAGGGTTGTGAGCATCTTCAGCAGGGCGATGCCTCCTTGGATTTTCAGAAACCTTCCTGCAGGTTTCTGTGAGGGTCCTGCCCTAGGTCAGCCTGTGCCTGAGAATCCTGTGAAGTTAGAACGACTGAAGGGGCCTGTGCTCTCATATTAAGGCCCCTATCACCTTGAATCTCCACATCCCTCCCTTCCAGTTTGAGTAATTACAAGCAATGAAACTGAATTTGAGTGGCCTTTTAATGCAACCCACAGTAGGGTGCCAGCCCAATGGCTCCAACCTCAAAAGAGTATCCCCCTCATTTCTCAGAAACTCCCTGGACCAAGGTGCACGAAATATCTCGTCTGTGCATGGTGCTCCCCTGCACTCGGATGGTGCACAGGACACATCTCATACCCGACCCAGATGGAAATTTTGTCTGATTTACTCACAATTCCAAAGTTACTTTTAAGGGAAGTTTTTCTTTCTCAGCTTTAAGCCTCTCAACTCTGAGACCCACCATCAAAGGGTCTGGCTCCTGTTCACTGTTTCTGCAGCCTCATTTAGTCCCCCCTACAGGCTTACTTAAAAGGACCCAAAGCCTCAAAATGCCTTGCCTCAGGATATTTACACTAGATTCCTCATCTGGAAACTTCCTCCTTCCTTCTTCACCCTTATTTTGACTGGTCCTTTAGCTCTTAGGGAGTATCTCACCACCTATTTTATGTGAGAGTTGCTCTTAGTCTCTAAAATTTTATAGGCAGGTGTTAAGTCTATTTTTCATAGCATTCCCAGTACTAGGTGGGAGGCTCCCAAAGAACAGATGTTAAATTATTGTTTGGACAATGAAAGAGCAAGCTTGCAAGTCAAATTTATTGATTTAATTTCTCCTACATTCTTGACTAAGCTAAACCCACACACATACCTATACCTCAGTTTTACAGAGAAAGACTCAAAGGAATAAAACTAACCAATTGACTAGTTTTTACTTTGTTTTCCTGTATGTCATGATCACAGACTTTACTGTGGAGTAATTTCCTTTTTCATGAAGATGCATATTCCAGTGTCATGTTATATCTTGTTCTGAATGGCAAGAAATGATTCAAGGATTTTCAATTTGTTCTACATAATTTTTATTTTTCAACCTGATAAGCTCCAATAAATGTGCGAGCCAAGGCCTTCATAAACTTAGATTCTGAAGCTAAAAAAAAAAAATGTAATTGAAAGGAACACCATTTAAAATTAGGAAAAAGAAAATGTCTAGCTCCACTTTATCCATATGGTGCAGGATCACAAATACATTCTACCCTGTGATCCCATGAGCCCCTTTTGGGCCCTCCACTGGTTAAAAGATTGACTGCTTCTTTAACCACAAAGTGAAGAATCTGTCTCAGACCTGGGGTGGTGGGGTGGTGGGAGGAGCTTCAAGGACATGCCGCAGACCCCTCATTGGCCATGGCAGTCCTGCCAGCCCTGATTTCTCAAACTTCCTCCTAATGGTATGGGAAGGTACTGGGCATGGCAACATTGACCTTACCCCAAAACTCACACATTTATAATGGTTTCATATTTGGCTCAAAGACTAGCTTCTCTCCTAGCTGCTCTTTTGTCCAAACCCTGCTTATCTTCATCAATTTCATCTCTCTCTCTCTTTTTTTTTAAAAAGATTTATTTATTTATACAAGAAGCAGGGTACAGGCCAGATGCCCGGGAGGGTGAGAGGACTCACCAGAGACAGAGAGGGGAACAGAACAGGCAGACTGATGAAATACACTGCTGAGGGGAGCAGCGGGCACGACAGGAGAGGTCTGCTGCACCATGTGGGATCCTCACCGAGTGGCAGTGATCGAAGGGGCAGGGCGCTGCAGAGGCTGCAGACAGCTTCACAGCAGTGCTCAACCGCCTGTGCCACCAGGGGAGGCCCTCTTTTTTTCTTGAGGAAAAGAGAAGGGGTTTAATTTGTTGACAAATGAGGAGGGCAGCAGACTCATGTCTGAAAGACAGCTGTCCTGTTCTTTGGCAGAGTGCAGGGGTATTTCTACAAGGGGAAAGAGAAAGGAGATGGGCTAGGGTCTGCAAAGGGGAGGGGGAAGGGGTCATCTCTCTCTTTTTCTTTCTCCCCCTCTCCCCTCTCTCTTTCTCCCTCCTTCACCCTATCCCCAGAACATACCCCATATTAGTTCACAAAGATCATACCCTGTGGGGACTCAACCTGAGGGGGTGGGGGGAAGCAAATATTGTTTAAAAACGAACAGTGATGTAAAAAATAAACAAAATTAAATAAGAATTATTAAATTAAAAAAAGATCATACCCATTCTTTTGTTTAAAGCTATATAGTACAATACTCCATTATGTGGATACACCATAATCATTCAATCAATATATTTGTGGTCATATGTATTTTCATATTGCTGTGAGCGTCTCTTCAGGGGTAAATTTCTTAAAAAGTGGTTACTGAGTCAAAGGTAAATGCCTATTTAGTTTTGTGATACATTGTTAAGTTCTATAAGGTAACATTTTGAGATTTTTTGCAGGCATTTTCTTAAGTAGTATTGGAACTGAGAGTATTCTTAAATAATATAATAATAAATTAAGTAATTTGGTGCTAACTTTATCAGGTTTAAATATTTATGTTATGTTTCATAAAAAAACATTTGGAGCTTTTGTTTCATTTTCTTTGCTTTGGAATAATGCATGAGACCAAATTCATTCATTTGCACTTGCAGAGAGAATAGTATAATCAACACTCAATGTACTCATTTCTCAGCTTCAGCAATAGCAACACATGGCCAATCTTATTTCATCTATACCCATCCCACTAGTCCATTCCTTGAAGCAAACATCTATAACACCACTTATTATGTATCTTTAGAAGGTAAACCTTTTAATTACAAATGTAATCATAATACCACAGGCACACTGCTGTAGGCAGAAATCCAAGATGGACTCCTAGATTCCTGGCCCCTGGGGACACACATCTTCTCCCAATTAACTGGTCAAACACCTCCGGTAGGGGCTGCTATGAAGGCATTTTGTGGGTGTAATTAAGGTCCCAAATCAGTTGTCCTCAAGATAAGATTATCCTCCATGGATCAGACCTAATCAGATGAGCCCTTAAGTGGGACAGGGCTTTTCCTTGGCAATAGTTGTTCAAAGAGTGAGCGCCATTCAATGTGAGGGAGAGTCTCCATTGCTGACTTTGAAGATGGAAGGGATTACATAGTGAGGCCTGAGAGTGACATCTCAGCTATAGCTAGCTGGGAAAGGCGCACCTCAGTCCTTCAACTTCAAGTAACTAAATTCTGCCAAAACCTGCATGAGATTGCAAGGAGTTCCTGAGCTCTGGATGATAACACAGTTATCTGACACTTTGATTGCAGCTTTGTGAGATTTATTGCCTAGAAATCCAGCTACTCCCTGCCTAGACTTGAGACCTACAGAACTGTGAGATACTAAGTGTTGGGTGTTTGAAGCTATTAAATGTATGGTAATTTGTTATACAGCAACAGAAAATGGAAAGGTTTTTATCTATAGTTTCAATTTCTTTCCCTTTTGATTAGATCTTTTAAGATCTACTCTCTAGCAACTTTCAAATATACAATACAGTATTATTAACTATAGTCACTATGCCATACATTACAGCCCAAGGAGTGATTTATTTTATAACTGGGACCCTCGACCGGTGGCCGGGGATCGAACTGGCGCTGCAGCGGCTGCGGGCAGCTTTGCGACCCAGCGCTCAACTGCTGCGCCACTGGGGAGGCCCAGGAATTTGTGTCTTTTGACTATCTTTATTCTTTTGCTCATTCCCCAACTCCCACCCACCTCCTACCCCACCCTACCCCTGGAAACTAACAATCTGTTCCCTGTATCTCTGAGTTCAGTTTTTTTAAAGTGATTTAACATTGGTTTACACATGCTATACATTTCAAGAGTACAGCTTCATACCTTGACATATGTATATACCACATCACACCCAATAGCAAAGGTGTAGTTGCCATTCACTGTCATCCAATTAACCTCCTGTACCTGTTAGATCCACCCACCCCCATCCCCTTTGGTGAACACCATTCTGTTGTCAGAACCTAAGGGTGTGTTGTTTGTTTCATTTTGTCAATTTGCTTTCTTTGTATTTCACATATGAGTGAAATCTCATGGTATTTGTCCTTTCTCTGTGTAATTAATTTCACTTAGCACATCCCCTCAAGGTTTAAGCATTTTGTCACAAATGGCAAAATTTCCTATTTTTAAATATGACTGTTTAGTATTTCATTGTGCATATGCACCACATCTTCTTTATCCATTCATACATCCATAGGTACTGAAGTTGCTTCCATATTTTAGCTATTGTGACTAGTGTTATAATGTACATAGAGGTGCTATCTATTTTAATTAGTGTTTTCATGTTCTTTGGAAAATACCCAGAAGTGGAATTGCTGGAGATCAAATAGAAGTTCTATTTTTAACTTTTTGAGGAATCTTCATACTGATTTCCACAGTGGTTATACCAATTTACATCCCCCACCAACAGTGCACAAGGGTTACTCTTTATCTCACATCATCACCAACATTGTTTCTTGTGTTTTTGATAATAGTCATTCTAGCAGGGTGAGGTGAAATCTCATTGTGGTTTTGATTTGCATTTCCCTAATAATAGTGATAAAGAATATCTTTTCATGTGGGTGCTGACCATCTATATGTCTTCTTTGGTGAAATGTCTATTTAGATCATCTATCCATTTTTTTAATTGAGTTGTATTTTGTTTTTTGTTATTAAATTGTATGAGTTGTTTATATATTTTGGATATTGACCCCTTGTCTGATATGTGGTTTGTAAAGATCTTCAGCCATTCAGTAGATTGCATTTTCATTTTAACAATGGTTTCCTTGACTGGGAAGACACTTTTTAGGTTGATGTGTCTTCTTTATTTTTGCTTTTGTTTCCCTTGCCATTGGAGTCAAATCCCCAAGGATTTGACTAAAGCCATTCTAGGGGAATGGTTTGTTTTGTTTTTAGATTCCACATTACAGATAATACAGTATTTGTTTTTCTCTGTCTGATTTACATCACTTAGCACAGTGCCCCCAAATTCCACCCATGTTGTTGCAAATGGTAGATTTTCCTTTTTTAGGGCCAGATAATATTCCATTATATATGTAAATATATATTTATATAATGCATAGGTATTCTTATATATGGAATTATGATATGAAAAATACATTATATATAGCATGGTGCATATATACCACATATATACTTTCATGTGTGTGTATAAATGGAGAAATAAATTCCAGTATTGGTATATGTAAATTCCTATGCATATTGAAAAAACTACACATGGATGTTTATAGCAGTCTTATCCATAATTGCTAAAGCCTGAAATAAATAAACCATGGTACTCCCAGACAATGCACTATTGTTTAGTACTGAAAAGAAATGAGCTATCAAGCCATGAAGACTTTGTGGAAACTTAAATGTGTATTACTAAGTGAAACAAGCCAACCTTCCATACTGTAACTATATGATATTCTGGAAAAGGCAAAATATAGTAACAGTAAAAAAAAAAATAATGGTTACCAGGGGTTAGGGAGAAGGGAGGGGTGAATACGCAGAGCACAGAGGATTTTTAGGGCAGTAAAACTGCTCTGTATGATACTGTAATGATGAATACATGTCATTATACATTTGTGAAAAGGCAAAGAATGCAGAACACCAAGAATAAAGCCTACTATAAACTATGGGCTTAGTATCTAATGCTGTGTCACATGGCTCCATAAACTGTAGCAAATGCACCACCCTGGTGGGGAGTATTCAGAGTGGGCTGGCTGCATGTGGGGGAAGAACGCATTTGAGAACATGCTGTACTTTCTGCTCAACCATGCCATGAATCTAAAATGCCTCTAAAATTAGTTTTTTTAAAAAGCAGTGCTGAGGATAAAGAAACAAAGCAAACCAACCAAGGAGACAAAACAAAAACAGAATCCTAGAGTCTGAAAACAAAATGGGGCTTACCTGAAGGGAAGGCCAAGGGAATTGGGCGGAACCTGCAGAGGGGGCCAGTCAGAGAGAAGTTAAGGGGTGCTAGAATTTTGGTGGTGGGTATGGTAGTTGCGAAGCTGGATTCCTGAAACTAATGTAGTATTGTGAGCCAATAGCACAGCAGTAGGGGAAAAAAAAGTGCTGAAGGACTCAACCTCACACCCTGCCCTTGGGAACTGAAGCCTTGAGCGGAGGGAAACTCTTTTACCTTCTCATGGGGATGGTGTGTTGTCCTCTCAATCCTCCCTCAGTTTCACTGACTTGACTCCTGCAAGGGCCTGAAGCTTCCCTCTTTCTTGATCCGAGGACATTTCCTCACATAAAGGCACTTTCCTGGGATCCCACAGGGTGAAGGAGAGTGTCCCTATTTGGCTACACCTGCTCCTGATCTCCTAAGACCGACGGCTGGGGCAGGCAGGCTGAGACCCTATGCTGGTGACACTAGTTAGAGATCCTAACTCAGTCCCCTAAATCTGAATCCTACAAAGGCCTGAGTTTCTTCCTCTATTGTCCCGTGACCTCCCCACTCAGATCAAGCTCCTCACTTCTCTGATACCACCCCCCCCCCAGCCCCTGGAGAAAGCTGTGAGGCTGTCCTGTCTGGCATTTAAGCCCCATCTCTCATGAGAATAGGGAGGATTCTGCAAGGCTCCCCTGCTATGGGTTAGTGGTCCTTGAACACTTTAGGGTACTCACCTTTCTCCTGGCACACCTGGGAAATCCTACTCTACGGACCTGAGTCCAGCACCCTCCATCCAATGTTGTTACCTTCCTGACCTCCTAAGTAGAAAGCAGGTTCAGCCACTTTCTGTCAAGGCTATTTGGAGATTCTGAAGGCTGACAGCAGGGTCAGAATCTGTTCTGGATGGGCGCTTTCTTTTTTCTTCATTCCAATTCCTCACCCTTCATCAGTGTCAGAGACTGGGACTCCTCCCCCTACTGACATAGTCATCCTCCTATGGCAGGACTCACCAGTCTCTGAGAACGCTGAAGAATATATGATGAGGTTCTCAGGCTGACAGTTTTGCCTGGTATGTTGCTCTCGCCTGCCCTCCTCTATGGGGTCTTCCTCCTCATTCCTGTCTCTCAACTAAAGGCTCCTCAGAAAGGCTCCATCCTGGCCAACTCTTGACCACTTTTCCTTATTGCAAACCCTTCAGAGGATGATTCCCCAACCCAGAAATGATGCTAGGTGGAGAAGCTGTCAACACAGGGTGGAGACCCCAAAACAGATGTGCAGTCAGAGAAAAAAAAAATGCTAAATATTCCTTCTCTTTATGAGTCAGATTTAGCCTTTTGTTTGAGGAGACTTAATGTTCTGCAGGGAAGCGGCTCTTCTAGGATGACATTGTGCCCCTGATCATTTGAGATTATCTGACTTTGGAGATGTAGATGATCATAGCATCACCAAATATGATCTCCTCTCCCTTACAAAAAGTTCTTAAATATTTCGATAAGCTTATTGCTCAGAGAGTCCTTTTTATCACCTGAGTACTTTTTGGAGTCATAGATGAAAGGTGAACTATGGTCCCCAAAGTCTGTCTCAAGCTGAGAGGAGGGGAAACGTGTGGACTTCAGACTCATGCAGGCCAGGAGCCTAGTTCCAGTCCTGTCACTTAATAGTCAGGTGAAATATGGCACATGACCAAATTCCATGAGACTCAGGCTCACACCTGTGAAATGGGTTTGAAAAGCTCTGTCTTGGGGACCGCTGGAATCTAATTTCAGTAAAGCCCTGGCTCAGTGCCTCACCTGTACTGAGAATGGAACAAAAGCCTTTTTCCTACTGGAATTAACTTATTCCCTGGAGCTTAAACCCACTACACTGAGATTTAACTTTTTTTAAAAAGATGTATTTTATTTATGCATACAAGAGCCAGGGTGTAGGCCAGAGGTTGGGGCGGGGGGTGGGGGGGTGGCAGAATAAGAGGACTCACCAGAGACAGAGTGGGAGATCTACTAAAATACACTGCTGAGAGGAGCAGTGGGTGAGACAGGTGAGGTCTGCTGTGCCATGTGTGTTAGTTCCCTAACACAGGGATTGAACTCCTGCTGCAATGTCTGCTTATAGCTTCATAGTGTTGAGACTTAATCCCTTGTGCCACCAGGGAGGCCCTGAGATTTAACTTTAAATCCAGGATATATCAGAGACTATGCAGTGTTCTGGGACAAAGAAAACCCTATCAGAAAAAATGCTGCTTAGCAATGAAAACTAAGTAATATTTCCCCACTAGAGTATGTCCTTCCATGTCAGAGGGAGGTCGCCTTCCTCACTGGGTTTAACACAAATCCCCAAAATATTTCAAGGACAACTTACCTCCCACTCAGCTGCTGTTCTTTCTAAGCCACTCCTGCTTTCATTCATTTAACCGCCAGCAAAAATCTAGCCCCTGCCCAGAGTTTGCCAAATGATGTTAAAAATAACTTAATGTACAGGATATTTTAATGGACTGAGCTCTGGCTCCACCAATGCAGGGCGAAGTGTGCCAGGCCAGTGCATTCTGGGCATTTCACCTCAAGAGAACATCACCCATATGTCTCAGAAATTCCCTGGAGGTGATATGACTAAAACATCTAATTTGCAAACTATCTTCACCCACCTGGGGATATGTGCGCAGGACACAGTTCCATTCCTGCCCTAGGGGGATTCTCTCTGGTTTACCCTCATCCCAAAGAAACTGTTAAAGCAGTTTTTCATTTTAGGCTTAGTCTTTCAGTCCGGGGCCAACATCTGAGGGTCTGGCCTCTGCTCATGAATTATCCCGGCCTCTGTCTAGTCCACCACACAGTTCATTTAAATTACCTCCCACCTACTTGGAAAAAGAAGAACTCTTGCCATTTTTGACAACATGGACCTTGAGGGGGTTATGCTAAGCAAAATAAGTCAGGAGAAAGACAAATGTCATATGATTTTACTCATTTGTGGAATATATATATAATTGATATATATATATATATATATATATATATCTCAAATGAATAAAACAAAGCAAGCCTTAAGACACTGACAATGGAACTGTGGGCACCAGACAGAAAAGAGAGGGAGGAACGAGTATAGGGGGCCAGATTGGTTGGTGGTAGATCATGACCGGACATTTGGCGGTGGGTGTGGAGAGAAATATGCAGTTACTGAGGTGAGAAACGCACACCTGAAACCTACACAATGTTGTAAACTAATGTTACCTCAACTTAAAAAAAAAGTACTTCCCACTGAGGGACTTGCAGTTTCCTGAAGCCCAACACTGCCTAGCTTCAGGACATCGCCGGACTGCTCTCACCAGGAACTGTCTCTCTCCTTTCTTATCCTGTCTTTTCATTTGTCCTATCAGTCTTAGAGCATATATCACCATTTTCCTTACACGACAGCTGCTTATCACCTCAGTAATTTTACAGTCAGCGAGTATGTTTTCTTTTCTTGACTCTCCCACTACCAGCATGGGATCTTCTACAAGCAGATGCTCAATTAATGTTTGGGGAATAAATGAGCCCACGAGCAAGGGGTGTAATTGATTATGATTGAATTCTACATTCTTGAATTTGTCACATATATCTGTTATTTATAATCTTATAAAACTCAAAGTATAAGAGATTAGGAGAGATCCCATACATTTTATTGCTGAAATTTTTAAAAGTTTTCAAGGAAATGCATATTCCAATGCCATGTTAGCTTGTATGTACTATGTTTTCTTGTATATCTAAATAGGATGAAAGTTTTCCAATCTGTGTCACAAAACAGCAAAACTCTTATTCTTAAACAGGATAACTGTGACGAATATAATTCATAAACATAGATTATAATGCAAGATAAGTTTTTGTTTTGAACTATCAGCATTTGAAAAATAGAAAAATATGCAGCTAAATCTCCAAACTACCCATGCAGAACAGGAACATAGAGGTATTATATGTGCTGTTCCCTCAGCCACACTCAGCCCTGCACTTCTTGGAATGATGACTGCTCTCTTCACCCACGAAGGGAAAGATTTGGGCCAACTTCACTAGGTATGACAGAGCTGCTGGCCCTAGGACATTCACAGGCCATGGCACCACTGTTGGCCTCTACTGCAATTGTGGCTTGAATTCTCTTTTCCTCCTCTTTCAAAGCTTCTTCATACCAGTATTGGAAGGTAGTAGGGACTGTGTGATTAATCTTGGCCCAAAACTCCAGGATCTTCATCTTACTGGTTTCAGCATGGGCCCTTGGGCCCCAGAGAAACTCATAGCGAGCTGGGTTGGTGTTGGGCACCTGGCGGTATTCCAGGTACTTAAGCTTCACCAAATCTTGTGTGATGAGCTTTTTGGGTTCCCCATAGATAAAGTGCCTCTTTCCAGCATATATCTTCATCTTATTGAGGAATTCCCAAATGTTCTCCTCAGTGGCACAGTTGCCCTTCATGAAGATCAGCCCTAGGAGGTTCATCAGGAGACCCGTCTTGGGAAAGCCCCTCCTACGACTCACTGTCCCATTGTTGGGGAGATTCATTTTGCTGACGAGGATATACGAATGTTTGGTAGAGTCTACTTCCTTTAAGTCAACACCAAATACAACCTCCATGTTGAAAGAAGCTCTTTCGAGGATCTCAATGAAGTGCTTTCTGTACTTTTTATTGACAATCTTCAGCATATGTGCTCTGGTAATAGGTTTCTTCATTTTGTACCTGTGTATCATGAACTGCACCAACATCACTGCGACCCTGGATAGAGGGTCATCCTGAGACTGCACAGTGGAGAGTGGAAACGGAGAGGAACTTTGCTTTTTCCCATTTCCACTGTTGATGCCTTTCTGTGATCTTGTGCGAGAACCTTCATCAGAACTAGTGGTGATGGGTAGGGTGCTCTTAGCCCCCTTGACACTGCCTTGCGGCTTAGCACCAGGCTTTCTCTTAGTAAGAACAGGAGCAGATGAGGAGGGGAGCACGTCCCCCTCAACTGCAGTGGGCCGAGCACTCCTCAGACCCTGCTGCCCCTTTTGGACCTGGTGGCGTTTCTTACGGGCGCAGAGCTTACTCTTCTGACCCCGAGGCATGATAAATGTGGGCAGGGCAGCAGAGGACCTGGGCATGAGAAAAGAGAGGATGTAATAGAGAGCACCTTCAGCAGGAAGATGCCACCCTAACTTTAAGAAGGTTACCTCTGCAGGTTCCCTCTAGGGCAGTGTCCTAGGAACCCACAGGACTCCTAAGCTTATCCCTTGAGGACTCTGTGGAAATAAAGTGGGACAGGCTGTAGTCCGCCAGTCCAGCCCAGCGGTTGCTGGGGCCTTGAGCAGCGGCATGCAGGTCTAGTCTCTGCAGAGTGCTCTACTCTGGACACAGGGGTTTGCTCAGTTCACAGTGAAGACCATCATATCAACTTTTGGCAGGGCCTGGGCCCTGTCCTCTGTATACTCTAGCTTTACACGGAAGACCCAGCTCTATATCATGGGATACCTTAAGGGGCAGTGAAGGGGAGCCTCAGCCCATCACCCTTGCCAGGAGGCACCCACTGCTCACAGCCCTGTGGCCTCTGTCCTGGGTTTGTTGGGGGTCCTCAGTCTGCATAGAGGGACTTCGCCTCAGGTCTAGCTACAGCCCAGGACACCTTGGCTAATCTGATGTCGCTCAGATCAAACAAAGGCTCTCACCATGATGCCTACCAAAAGAAAGGAGGGTTCACGTATGCTTGACCTCCACAATTGGGCTCCTCAGTGCTGTAAGCAAAGAGGGGGGGACCCTGTGTTGCCTCCCCTTTTGGGGATATGGGTGGAGCCACCATTCGGTATTTTTTTCTCTTTTTACTTTCTTACATCATTGTTCATTTTTGTATAATATTTGATTTCTCCCCTCAGGTGTAGCCCCTATACATCTCCCATCACCACCTCACTCATGAACCACCACCATAGTCCCTTGTGCTCTTCCCTCCCCTGTTTTGATCCCTCCCCTACCCTGTCCCCTGCTGTATGCCTCAGATCTATAATTTGCCTGCTAGTTTTATATTTTTTTTTCCCTCTAACCCTTTGTAACCACCATTCTTTATTCGGGGTCCACACCTCCCTCTGCAGAACTGAGGCCACTCAATCAGTCCAACACCCTCATCTCTCTGGACCTCTCTAACAAAAATTGTAAGGGCACCTCAGCCTGACAGTTATGGGTTTCCCCAAGGCTACAGGAAGGGGATGAATGTATGAGAGTCCATTTTTCAGAACCAGCATTTCCCTAGTCCTCACCAGGTCTTTGACTTGAATTTTGGGTAGGACATAGGATTTCTCCCTCCAATAATCTGGGGAGTACAGCCTCAGAGGAGAGCCTTCAATTTCCTGTGTCCCTGGAGAGGGAAGTCTGATTGTCTGGTTCATTTATTTATGGCCACCCCTGCCTGGTACCTTCCAGCAATGAGTGCAGGAGCACTACTTGGTGTTGCCACCTCTCATTGGGGGGAGAGTCTCGTAATAGCACCAGAGGTCCTCACCTCCACTGCAATTAGGGCCTAAATATCCTCCCTTTGACCAAGAACAGAGGTTACTCCTTGGCCCAAGCCCACCTCTACCCTCCTCCCCCCCAAATGTTTCAGGCAGAATTCAGCCTTCCACGGTGGACAACAGCAGGGAGAACTACAGGAGTGTCCCTGATTATGGGTCGGGGTGGTCCCTTCAACTGCACCCAAGATCTTTAGCTTGATTCTAGATCAGTTCTGGGAATGTCCTGTGGCTCACCAGAGGCTTCCAACCCCTTTCCTCGCCCCCAGATCAAAGCCCTCCCCCCGTTCCTGACCTCTGAAATGGAAGTCAGGATGATCCACATCCACATTTGGCCACGCTACTCAGGGGCCGGGATCAGGGGCCGGGATCAGGGGCCGGGACCCCACGGCTCTGGAGTTGGTTTTCTCTAAGTCCCCACTTAGGGTCCTCATCCTCATCAGAGCCCAGAGCTCCTCCCATTATTGAACTGAGTCCACCGTCTCCAAAGAAAGCTCTGACCTCCTCGAGCATCCAGAGGCGGGAGTTGGGACGGCTATTAAAGCCAGGTCTTGCCGGAAGCTCCCAGACCGTGGGCAGGGGCCGCAGCTTGGCGTTGCCATCCCTACTGGGTAGAGGTCGACGCGTGAGGACTGGGACCTCTCGGGACTCTAGTTAGGACCTAGGTTTCCATGATCTGCAGAATCCAGGGCTACTTCCTGAAGTCGAGACCCTCTTCCCTTAGACTATATTCAGCGCACAGCCTGATGGCTCTGACAGGGCCTTCTACTGCCCATCACAGGGGCGGGACTTCGTTACGCCGCGGAGAGAGGGGGGGGGCTCTTGAACCCACGTTCGGCTCCGCAAGTCCTCACCTTGACTTCAGAGAGGTCTTGATAACCCACCCTGCGCACCGCGATCACCGAATAAACGCTCCTGCACGCGGAGGGCTAACCTTAGAATCGGAAGTCTGCGTACATCACATCCGGTCACTGCCGCGTGGGGTCTCTTAGCACTGACGGCAGGAGCGGGGTTCTGAGGTCCCTAGGTCAACATTCGGGTCACAGTCTTCACCTTGGTATCAGTCAGAGTCCGGGATTCCCCCCTCTGCTGAAAAGCTTCTGGAATCCACATCCACGAGCAGCGAGTGCTGTTACCCGCCCTTCCCCCCCCCAGCCCCCCCAGCCCCCCCCCCCCCCCCCCGCAAACCTTCACCTTCCTGAGTCCCTAGACAGGGGAGTCAGCGGCACTGTTTCTGCCTACCTCTCTCTGGGGTCTCAGAAACCTTACAAGGGGGCTCACCTTGAGTCCAGATATGGCCAAGACCACTCAGAGCACAACTCCCCGCCACGGACCCCACCATCCTAGCAGACAACACCCCTCGCTCCCTGAGACCTGTTCGGCAGAAATGAGACAGCGGCTCAGCCTTATCACTCTGCCTGGGACCTCTCGCCTTTAAGAACAGGAACGCGGCTCTGTAGAGCCCCCTCATTAAGGTCTAGGGAGCCCCCTCTCCTCAGGAACCTCATCTTGTTCCTGGTCCGCGCGGGGATTCTGTCCCGCCGGGAAGTGACTCCACTCAGATGAAGGTCCGCGCCTCCCTGAGATCCTCTCCATGGAAACATAGGATGTGAAATGAAAATTGTAGTATGTGGCAGGGGGCTCAGAAAAGGGAGGACTGTTGAAGTGAAACTGATCTCTCCTTTTCTGTAGTCGGCGTTAGCCTCATGTCACTGTCACCTGCTTTATGTGATTTACTTTGTAAAGGGAAGGAGCTATCCAGGATGGCTTGTGATGCCCCGATTTTGAGGTTATCTGATACTGCATATGTAGATGATCACATTGTCACTGAACATTACCTGTGTCTCCTCCTTATCCATAACTTTCACTTGCTGTGTATTCTTAATTTCTTTGCTTATGTCAATCCAGTTTTTTTTGGGGGGGAGGGGGCACAGAGTCCTTATTTTTAAAATCTGAAATATATTTTGAAGTATCTGCTTTAGGCAGAGTGGGGTGGAATGAAGAGTGTGGACACTGGAATTCAGATCAGGACTCCTGTCCCGGCCCTGTCACCTTACAGATCCCTACAAACTGGAGCACATTACCAATCGCCAATATAAGTACATCAGATCAATGCAAATATTGCTTAATAAGAACAATTATGTAATATACCCTCTTCAGACTGTATCCTTCAGAATATATCCTCTTAAAGTGTCTGTGGAAGAGTCTCCCAGTTTGAGAACTCAAGGGTCTTAGAACTTTTGTCAAAGACCAGTATCTTCCCTACTCCCAGTATCTCTTGCCCACTTCAAGCTGCCCCTCCATCTAAATCATCATTATTTCATTCATTTATCCACCAACAAAATCCTAGACTTTGCCTAGAATTCACCAAATTAACAAGATAAACTAATCAAGTGCCCTTTTAATGGTATGCTTTCTGATTCCCCCATCCTGGGGTAAAGAGTGCCAGTCCAGTGAATTCTAGGCACGTCATCTCAAAGCAATATAATTTATTTCTGAGAAACACCACGGTGATGATGCACATAGAACATCTGATCTGCACACTATGGTCAACTGCTCTGAGACAAGAGCACAAGACTCTTTCCATTCCTACTCCACAAGGAGATTTTCTCGTTTACCCACAATCCCAAAGTAAATGTTAAGGATAATTTTTTCATTGCAAACTTAGTCTTTCATCTCCCAGACCCTCCATCTGAGGGTCTGTTCTCCGCCTGCCACTCCCATAGCCTCAGCCAGCCCACCACACAGCCTCACTTAAAGTGACCTCTCTTTGTTATAATTAGTCTTTTTCCTGGTCCCTTATTTAGGTTTTCTAGATTCCTGCTATGAGTGAGACCATGCGGTATTTTTCTTTATCTTTCTGGCTTATTTCGCTGAGTATGATCCCTTCCAGCTCCATCCACGTTGCTGCAAATTGCATGTGTTTATCTTTTTTGATTGCTGAGTAATATTCCATTGTGTATATGTACCACATCTTCTTGAAGTAAAAATCAAAATCAACATGCAACTATAAACCAGAGACACATTACAGGATGTGGGGAGAGGGAAGGAGGGAGTAGAGTCAAGATAAGGGTGGTGGGAATTGTATGGGGAATATAATCAAGATGAAAATGCATACATTGTGCAAAAATGAAAAATGATGTAAAAAAAAAAATATATATATATATATAAATAAAATAAAAAGTGACCTCTCTCTGAAGGATTTGCACTTTCCTGAGGCTCCAAACTGCCTTGCCTCAGGGCATTGATACTTGATTGCTTTCAACTTGAACTGGCTCTCCTCTTCAGCTCTTGTTTTTACTTACTCTTTAGGTCACAGAAAGCACCTCACCATCTTTTTTGTATGATAGCAGCTCCTAGACTCTGAAATTTAATGGGCAGGGGCTAGATCTTGGGTTTTCATTGCTGTTTTGGGAATTTTTGGAAAGTTTTCCGAGTATTAGCAAGAAATCGTCCAAATAGCTCATTCTCAATTAATGAATGGGAAATAAATGAGAGTAAATATGAGGTCTAACCCATTAATTTATCTTACATTCCCAAATAATCTAAGAAAATCTAAGTATGCACCTTTT